GGGAAAAAAAACGCATTTCGTCCAAAGTAAAGGGGGGGGGGGGGGGGTTCTTCCTTATTTGGAACGTCGAAAACTCTTACGAAACTTCAACTGCTATCAAGTGTTTTAAATAATCAAAATTGTTCTAGGTTGAAAGTTTTACAACAGATCGGGGAACCTATATGGAGTCTACATGATATAAAATAAGTTTTTCTATTGGAACTAACTGACAAGAAAAGATTTCTTTCTAACTTTTTATTGTTTGGGATAGGTAAAGTTTAAACGACGTTGATAACCTCAAGAGCTACATCACAAAAATTAGTTTAGATACAAAAAATTGGTAAAGAATTAGCTTGCGTGGCCGGTGCACAAAGTAAAGAGGGCGAGAAAATTGATGTAAGGGCGAAGCGCGATCGTCAGGATTTCCCACCAAGATCCATGCATATATCCTAAGTTTGCCCTATGCGCTTGCATAAATGCCGCATTCCCCAACCCCCAACCCCGTCGTGATTAAGCCACGCAGGTTAGTAAATAACAAACAAAGTTATTTCGTGATCGCAGTTTACAAATAAAAAATTGACTAAAAAAATCCAGGTTTGGTGCGTATAAACGCTCTTTTTGAAATGAAAAAAATAAAACTTCGTCTTCTTAAAGACCTCAATGTGTTTTTTTGTGGGTAATTCTATCCTGAGTTTGCCTTATTCCATGTAGGAATCACCCGCTACTGTTATGTTCCTAATACTTATCACTGACCCTGCTCAGCAGAACTATAGACCACTTTCATAAATGGCTGCAGGATTAATATTCTTTTGTTTAAACTCAAATTAGCCCTTCTGGCCTCGCTTGAATTTTAAATTTTGAATTTTGTACTGGAGAGCGAGGCCAGAAGGGCTAATTTAAATTTAAACAATAGAATATTAATCCGGCAGCCATTTATGAAAGTGGTCTCACGCTTCTTGGACATACTCAGTTACTCTTTCTAATCTCTACTCTAGTTTATACTTATTCATTTTACTGTGCTGTGCTTTATTCTATACCTCTATCATATCTTCTCTTCTATTCCCTCCTCAATGCTTCTCTTTCAGCCTTTTCCAGCCTCTCAATCAGCGAAGATGAGCGAAACGACGAAAATGCGAAAAATGGCGCGCACGCATACTTGCAAGCGAGCAGGCGTATTCCGCAGACGTTTATCAGGTAACCACAACTGCTGCGTGCCTGCTTGCCATAACACAGCTATCCAACGTCTGCGCATGTGCAAACGTCATAATTACAAGGTGGAGTACTTTCAGGCCATCAGAAACGAGTTACATACAACCTCGCAAGCAGGAAAGTCAAAGTGTTTTACAACCGTCTTTGTTTTTGGTAGAGTTCAAAACAGAATGGTGAATCAACAGGATACCCGTACTTGAATAAGCTTTGAGTTTGAAATTTTTCGAGTTTTCTTTTTTCTTACTTTTATTGAATGTACCAGATAACGATGAACGTTTTAATTTTCTTTCGCTTATTTTGCAAGACAGCGGCTGTTTCTAATGTTTTCCTTAAAATTTTGCGCGGGAAATTGGCGCGCGGCCTACCAGAATTGATCCCCTTGCGCATGCTCGACGTTTGACCGCTGTGTTACTTGCTTCTCGGCTTTTCCGCAGCCGCCGTTTCACGCGTCTCCACTTACTAAGAGCGTAGGGTAGGCTTCTTCTCTCCACTCACTGTCTTCAATCAGCCAAAAGTAACTGCCATACTGGCATGATTAACATCAGCCACCAACACATTAACTTCCCAGCCACTGCAGATATACGACGTTTATAGCAAGGAGCTGGACAATCTCCCAAAGACAATGGTTTTTCTTCTTCCTCGTCATCAGAAGACTTACCTAATAAAAGATACTCTCTTGTAAATTTTGGATAGCAAAAGTTCTGGTGAACAGACTACTCAGTGTTTGAGGGGAGAGACAGGGTATGGGGAGCGAAGGAGTTGAAAGTGAAAAGGTAAAAAGGTGAGTACACTCCTTAGAGCTCTCTCTCTCTCTAAGACGTGCTCTTACCAACGGACTGGAAGATAAAAATTTGCCATAACTTTGCTCAGAGAAAATAAAATGAGAAGCCTCGTTTAAGATCACTGAAACTTTAGATTTATTGTGATATTGGTAATACCAACACTGGAGGGAAGGGGAAAACAAGCTAAAACACTCACGAAATAACAAATTTTTAGGGGATTGTAAATACCCTATTTCCTTGAATAAGCTCCCATAATGCACGCTTGTATAAGTGCTCTCCCTCGAAAAAGCGCCCCTCAGTCATAATTTCAAATATGCCCCCTCCCCCTTGAATAACTGCCCTCCTCCTCCCTCACATTCGTAAATGGTAGGGATACGTGGAAAACCTGTTTCTATTACCATTTAATCATAGCTTTCTAAGCTTCAATCGGAATCCGTATACAATGATAGTTTCTTTTCAGTTCAGGATATTTCCATCTCCATGTGTTTGTAGAATTCTTTTGAGTGTGTTATCTCTTTTTTTATCATTATCATTATAATTTTTGTTCTATTGCTGCGCTATAAGCTATAAGCACCCTCTAACTTCAGACCCCGCTCCAGCTATACGCTCATGCAAAGTGTCCCACCGTGCACCCCACCCCTTGTGGTGAAACGACAGTTTTCCCGGTGGTTCTATAAATTTATTTAGCCGATCCAAAATACGGACACTGTCTGAGAAAGGTTGGACAGACAGAAAAGTTCTGAAAATTAACTATCCACAGGGAAGGCAACCGAATTATAATAAAAGCTGAAGAATAAGTAACTCTCACCATTTTCATCGACGTCTTCGTAATCATAACCGAACTCGAAAGACTTTTTGAACATCTGTCGGTGACTGTAAACCGGAAACAGCGGCACAATGACGTCATCTTTGTTGTGACCAAGGGGTGCATCGTAAGTGGAAAGAACACTCGCATCCTCGTTGAACTTCCGCAACCATTTTTCATAAATACGATCCACAAAAGCGTGATGAAGAGGAAAAATCGGGTCGTTTGATGCCGAAGGTACATCCCCCATTTCTCCTCCAACTACTATGTGGACCCGGTTGTGCAAGCCGTGGATGTTAGGAAAGCGATAGCCAGTTTCGGTGCTGGCATAACCCTCTAGGATATTTTTAAAGTTGCAGCTAGACTCTTTACTATAAGGTGGGAGGTCAAAGGTGTCAAATCGTAGCGCAAAGTTGACATCTTTTTTTGTTGGAAATGTCATATCGTATCCCTGGTTCTTCTTTTTGGCCTCCTTCTCGTTATCTGTGCCCCTTTGCAATTTAGATCTTCTTTTGGTAGGGTCACATGGCTCTGTTAGAGCGTAGGTTTGTTCGTCGGTACAAAGAACGTACCACTCATCCAAGTACTTGCCCATCACGATGCCATTACTTTGGTTCGTTACGCCAAGGAGCTCTTCAGAGCAAATGGCGGGGTCGCATTGAGTAATATTCCCAGTCCAGTCCCAGAAAGGGAGGGCAAATTCTTCATCATTTCCAATTTCCTGCAAGGTTCTCTCCCATGCCAGCAAGTACAACCGGTGCCATGAGGGAAACCCCTGACCATCGTGTGCGAAATCAATATCAGCTTTGGTGATATTATGAGGTAAAATGGTGTTTCTTGCAGCATAATAATGCATCCACGTGAACAGGTCATAACTGGTGACATTGTAGAAGAAGCCCTTTGGGTCGCCACCCTTCATAACGGTTTCGTTTATCTCTGCGTAAGGAGTAGACGTAACCACGTAGTCACTTTCATAGTACTTGGACATGTTGACGTATCTCATGTAGCGATCTTTCTCCTCGAGTGACAGGTTCAGAAAATTTCTTCGGATCAAATTTTTCTGAGTGCAGTTGCTGCCATCACGATAGTAACCAAACGCGCATTTGCTGCAATCGTAACCTGCATAGTTTTTGTTGCATTTGCAGACTTTGTGGTAAAGAGCATGCGGCCAGTCGTGTCTCTCGTCATCGTTTTGGAAAGGTTGGTAATGACTGTACTTGAATGTCCAATCACGAATGACCAGTTCCTGGCACTTGCCTCTGTCTCCATCGCAACCGCATTTTGTAGTGAAGCCTTTCGGGATTGGGCAACATTCCTTCCTTCTCAGACTGTCCAAGTTAGTGCAGACTCTGGGAAACTGGCCGTCGACCCAGGGTAAAGTGACGACAACAAAGACAAGGTAGGCGATGATGGGGTGAGCCATTTTGTGATTCCCTGGGAGATAAAATGTAGGTCATGTTGATCTGTCCTCAGAGTTTAAACGTTCAAAAGTTTCTACAAACAGAAATATCTCTGCCTAAATTTTAATGGTACTACTACTTTTTAGGGCTACAAGACGCTACAAATGATTTAGATTCTGAAAGTGGTTTCATCTTTAACCTTTTCTTCCCGAATAAATATCCTTTTTTCATTCTTTTGATACAAACGATTGAACGAATGAAATTTAAGTGTCAAAGTATTTAGCTATATATTAGCTAATTGTGAACACTAAAAGAACATTCCAAATTGAAAAAAAAAACTTGAATTTCGAAATATTTTACCTTTATTCTTGACTATTCTGGTTCCTTTTGTTACTTACGCTCTAAGTTAGCTCGTCGCGTAAAAATCCTCATGGCGATGAGCCGTAGTTTCCTCAATCAGAATTTTAAATTGAATTAAATTTTAAAGTAAATTATATTCAAACTTTCTCATCTATTTTTGATAACTCTTAGAAAAGGTCACTTCTGAAAAAGGGTAAAATGTACCTTTATCTTAAAGGTTCTTAGAATTCTCAGCGTTTCTCGATTATGCTAGACTTAGAAAGTGGTAGATTGTCTTTAAGTCAGCCTGTAAAATATTTTCAGTAGAGGCTGTGAACTTTTTTTTCTCTCAGAAACCTACTGCAGTGTTTTCAGCTTTGTATGTGTAATTGACAGCGACGCAAATATATTAATTTCACAGAATGGGTCAACTTTCTCAGAAACTATTGCTTATGTATACACAACTAGTCTTACTCTAATAAATATCATCTTCGGACCCATTTTGTTGCTGGAGACTTTTTCGTTATTTTTTCATGAAAGCCTCCTTCGATTTAACTCAGAGCCTCGTTCTCTCTTTAGAAGTAACTCCCGAAATTACCGAGATTCGAAAGAAATCTGCGATCGGCCTACAACGAAAGCATCCGTATTTTTGATGGACTTCGACGAACCAAACATAATTTGATCGTCTTATTTGAGAGTTTGAGATTTGTACAACGAATCGAAACCACATCTGTTTCTTAGGTAGACATCGTTTAAAATTTAACTTCAACATTGTTACAACAAGGGCAGTGTACAAACTATTTGTAGCGATCATGTTATAGGCCGGAGCGCCTTATCAACGCGTCAACTGAGGTAAGAACACGTGTCTTCCTTGATTAAAAACAGTTCAATTCGGCATACCTTCGTCTTTTTTAAGACTGCAAGCTTCACTGTTCTTTAGATTCTGAAAGTTTGTCTTCTTAAGTTTGTTTTTGTACGTCGTGGTGTTATTGACAAGTCGACTGACCACAACAGGAAATTACACTTAAAATATGATTGAGGATTCTTAGAAAAGGTCGCTTCGGAATAAGGGCGCAATGTACTTTGTAATCAGAGTTCCTAGAATTCCTACGTGGGTTTCGTTTTTGCTAAACTAAAGAGCGGAAATTGTCGTTAAATCACCCTGTAAAGTATCTTCAGAGGACGCTGCAAACTACTTTTTTCTCTTAGAAACCTACTGCAGTGCCTTCAACTTTGTACACGTCGGCGCTATGAATCTATGAATACTGCGTTGTCTTGACTTCCGAATTGCCCCCTGCTATTCAGGATTAATTATTGATGAAAAGCATATTTCTGTCTTATACTAGGAATTTCAAGTCAAGGCATGGAATAATATCCAAGCAAGGATTAGAAAGAAATCACTTAATACATTTCAAAACTAATCGACTGAAAAGAACAGATGCGAAGGTACAAAATCTCTTAATTCACTTATCGAACACGAATAACACATTTTCCGAGAGAAACCCATTGTTGTCTGCGCTTCTGTTTATATGAATAGTACATTATCATTCTGTATCATTCAGGTGATTGCTGCTTGAATGTCTCACAAAACTGTAACTTGGTGACGTGTGCAGTTCATTGAGAAACTCGCCCAACTTCTCCTAGCTACGGAAAAGAAAACCTAGCAACAGGTGTTGTATTTATTGGAAGCATTGTATTCATGCACTGCATCGCAATATTACGTGGAAGTGACGCGGCATTCATCTGAAAATAAGGCTAAAATGTACCTGAATGACAAGCTTGTTATCTGTGCGCTCGTAGTTCTTTAGTTTCTCGATCGGGATTAAAGCTTTTAGTTTCCTTCCCAGGACAGTTCTTGAACCGAATAACGCACTAACGCCCTTGGAGCAACGAGTTTATTTCTGGAGTAACGCGTGACTTTAGTTTAGCCAATGAGGAGTTAGCTTCATTGTTCGGCGCGTTTTAAATTTCGTTGCGACAGTGAATCGACGATTATCCAGCGTTTTCACCGTTCTTATTTTCTATCAATTTTTCGGATTTGCTAGTGGGAAAAAGCAACCCCAATCTCCATGCTATGTTTTATTTTTCTTGAAGCAATAAATTGAGTTGGCAGTTTTCTCTCTTTTTTTTTTTCGTAAAGACTGACTCTGATATCCGGAATTATATACTTCCTGCGTGTCTGCTTCTGTGAGTGCGCACTATGATGGATGTGACAGGGGTTGGGGTGGGGAGACGACGATATCTCATTTTAACGCGTTTTTCATTTTTTGGCAAAAGCGATATTGAGCAGCGTTCTTGCCTATATGGTTCTATTCACAACCAAAAAGATGACACTTTCTCCCACAAACAAGAAAAAAAAAAAAAAGCGGAGTGGCTTAGTAATTATTTTACTAAAAATTCCTTTTTTTTACTTCGTTCTCTGGACCTAGCGTCCGTGCCCAACGCGAGATAGGGCCTAGATGCTGCAAAAAGATAGAAGAAATATCACAGCGATGACTGCCGCAACATTAGACCCTGGTCAACGAAAGCTTTTTTTGATTATTATTTAGATTAAACCACAAACGACCCTTATGTACACAAGAAACGCCCCATCGGTTCGAGAGGCATCTTGGCGCTGATGAGGATTTCAAAGAGCCAGCATTTATCAACAGTAGAGTAGTTGAAACATTCGCGTCACACTGACGTCATAAAATTAAGGAGAATTTGAAAGGACCGTAATGCTTTGATTGGCTGATTAATCCTCGTTCCAAAACAAACATTTGTCGAACACAGCTCGCGTTTTTTTCACGGAAGTTTTTTTCACATAAATTGAAATGTCAATCGATAGGAAACTAGAAACTCTGTGTTAGGACCAAAATATTTTGAAAGTGTTTCTGTTGTATCCTTGTGGAGCAGTTCGACAAAAGTTTATTAATTACAATGATGAGACAATGTTTGGCTGTTTCATCGTTTTCTCTTTGCACTCCGACTGTCGTGATCCCTGAGGAAAAAAAAACAAACAAACAAATAAAATTTACAGAATTTCGGTGAGGTGTATTTACGGGGTAATCTTGAGTTGAATTGAAATAGTAAAAACAAAATAAGTGCCATACTTTCCCCTAACCTTTGCAGTTTTAGTCAAAAATAAAAAAAAAAGAGAGGTGTATTATCTTATCATCCCTGTTCATAAAACCAAATGAGCTTAATCACAAATATATAAAGGCTGACATTTTCTAAAGAAACTGTTTGGGGCTGCGTCGGTGGGGGTAACGAAATAAATTGGATGTATCAACAAAGTTGAAATGGTAAATTGGCCACCGTAACGATTACAAAAGCTGACGTTTCGAGCGTTAGCCCTTCGTCGGAGCGATATATCCAAATTAATCACAAATAGCTTAAATTATTGATCGCGACACAAGCCATACGAATCTATCTGGACCAGCAAAAGGAGACGTTTTTCTCATGAGCAAAAGACCCTGCTAAGCACAATGATTGAAAAGAAAGAAAACTCCATATAGTTGCGTGCATGTACCGTTCAGCAGGTACGTAACTAAAATTGACTTCGTCTTGATACAAACTATGCTGTCAACTAGTTCTTTAACCCTTTCATTTCCTAACCTCGCTTTAAATAAACGATTTGGTTGCATTTCCAAAATGTAAATGGTTTAGAAAGATGTTTTCGTTGTGTCACGAGCGCGGGACAAAGAAAAATTCTGAGTTTTCGAGAGGAATTGAACATCAGACACTCGGATTCCGCGCTCCGATGGTCTACCAATGAGCCACGGAGACTTTACAGCAAGGTTCATACACATGTAAGCGACTTTCTCTTTGTTCCCCACTAGTGATAGAACGAAAAAACATTTTTCTAGACTTTACTTCAAAGCGTAACCTTTACCGTCTCTCTTGTTCCATTTACGCACAATGTAAAGGCCGTAAAGAATGTAATACCTTGATCTGGAGGATTCGTCTAATGGTCTCTTTCCCTTTTTAGCCTCTGTAAGAAACTTGTCCAAACCAAAGGGATCCTCCTCTTCCTTTTCAAACTGAACTGGGCCATCGCGCCGCTGACCGCGATCTGCGCCCGCAAATCCCTTGTCAGGCTGAAACCTTGAGGACAGAAAAGTGCCGATTGCATGATATGAAAACAATTTAAAACACAGCTGTGAAACTACTCCAAAAGAGAGAACTCTACAATAAACAGTAGGAAGTTCAACAGCACTCGGTTCTTGGATATTTGTTAATTACCTGCTTGTTTGAACAAGTTTTTCCAGATCATCTCCATAAACATCGCGGTCGACATTCTTGCTCGGTCTGTAGATAGCATTAGCTGTGCTTCCCTCTCGTCTCCAGGCCTTATCGTACACATTATACCCATCGTCATCTCCAGCGAAACCGGAGTCCAGACCCTTTCGGACAAGTTACAAGAATGTCAGAGAGAGATGTGGAAGGGGATGGGATAGGAACTAAATACAGTGGTCGGAGGTGGGGGACTACAGGGGCGGATCCAGGGTTTTTCTTCTAAGGGGGTGCACCACTTAAGAATGACGTAACTGACGTGTGACGCAAACAAAAGCCAACAGCAAAGAAGAAGTCTTACGACAGACACCCGTTGCACCCTTCCCGTTGCCCCTAAAATAATACTAAAAAGACACCTTTATACAGATGAGTAATTATAACAGAAGCTGTGGTGACTTACCTTGCTTTGATTAAATAATCGCTGATCAAACAGTGCTTCCTGTGAGGGAGGAGCAGAGGCCAAGCCTAACGCAATCTGTTCACTTATGTCACGCTCCTTGTCACGCTGAAGTTTGGACCTAGAGAACAATCCATCGTTCATACCGTTACCACTGACGTGAATATCTTAAGTGAGGTCGATTTGGAAAGACAGCAGAGTTTTTGCAGTATAAACGGCTTTACCATTTCAAGGAATTCACAGTAAATTACATCATGACTGATGATCAAGCTTTGCTATTATCAAGATGAGGAAAACTTTACGAAAGATATTAAACATAACCAAAGTAAAGCGCGCGCCCTGATCGGTCAATTCAGCGTCCACCATTTGCCCATGGGTGTACGCTGCCGACGAGAAAAAATGCAAAGACTATTTTTCCTCGCGCGCTTGTTTTTTTTCTGGTCACGTAACATTTGTTAAATTAAAGGGAACTCTTTTGCTACAAAGTAATGTTATAAAACAAATGGTTAACACCACAGCGTACACTGTTAAGTTGTGGATGCACTCGGCAGGTTTGCAAAGCACTCAAGAAGCTAGAGTTGCTCTCGGCTATCGCTTCGGGCGACTCTTGCGCTTCTTTCGTGCTTAGCAACCTCCCGCGTGCATATCCATAACTCGATTGTGTACGCTGTGGTGTTTGCCATTGGTTAAAAAGCAGATAAAGAGAGTAAGTAGAAAATCATTTCACATTGTAACAAACGTAGGAAAAAATTCTGACTCCCTATGAGGAATCGTAGCTCAGGTCTTTGGATTCCGCGCTCCAATCAGTGCTCTACCACTGCACCAGAGATTCTTAATTGTGATTCAGGCGATTACTTCGTTGTGTCACGAATCCTGCGTACTGCTAGAATTGCCCTTTCCGGAATTCAACGGGAGACTGGGGCGGAACTTAACCCGCGAAGCACTCTGGGGCTGTTTTTGGAGACGCGGGAATAGCACGCGAAATTTAATCACGAAAGAGTTATCGGTAGAAAAAGATAATACTACGAGCCTGTTACTAAACGAACATGATATTCCAGGCGCAAAACTAAATACACCTGTTGAGCAATGTACCATTAACGTTCTAAAGCGATGGTTAGGCTGCCGTGGAGCGAAAGTTGGTGGCAAAAGAGAAGAACTTGTGATAAGGTATTTTAGCTTGATGTCAACACTGTTTGTTTAGTTATCTTTAAACCTCTTGAATGGAAATTTTCGACAGATCATTAGCAGAATATGATTGGGCAATGTAGAAAGCCGAGATCAAGTAAATTTCGACAAAATCGTGCTGAATTTGCCTTTTAAATTCGCTTTTTTCCCTTTATTTTTCGGGGTTAACGACTATATCAAAAATGGACTCGATTGTTGTTTACATTCTTCCAAATCTTTTTCAAGTGACTCGAGTTTTGCCTTAAGATCCTTCAGGGTTTCCACATTGTCCTCTTCCTTCTCCGAACGATGTAATTGATCAGTTTTGTCTTCTATTCCATCAATCTCAATAATATCTTCTGGGACAATCACATCTTTCGGGTTTCTTTGCTGTTCAATCTCCTTTCGAAGGGTTTCGCTGGACTCCTCGACATTGTGGAGTTAACACAAACACTTTTGGTCGGAGAGGGTTTTCATCTTTTTCTTTTGCACGGTACGTCGTGCTTAACTAGTTCACGACGTTTTGATTTAGCTTTAGACCATGTAAAAATCGATGGGAGTTGTGTACGACTCATCCTTTCGCCTTGCGGAAAATGTTTGCCGCATATTTTTGTACTCGACGAGTGTGTTTTAAGATTACGGTTTCGTATCAATTTGACATACTTAGAGAGCACCTTAGGATCTTGAGGAAGTGAATGGAACTTCAAATCTGGGGAATTATGCCAATTATTTGTACAACGAGGCACACAGCACGAGGATTTCCCCATGTTTTTCTTTATCACTTTGGCTTGCGTCTCCAAAAACAGCCCCAGGGTGTTTCGCGAGTTAAGTTCCGCCCCAGTCTCCCGTTGAATTCCGGAAAGACGAATCAGCCGCGTCGAAAGCGTTATGTGCGTTAGTACAATAACAATTTTTTTTTTGGTCCCACGAGCCCGAGAGTAAGAAAATAACCTTTCTCCGTGTCATTACCGAGCTCAGGTTCACGATCTTCGTTATGTTACTTCTCTTACCTTTTATCGGGAGCAGCTTTAGAGATTCTTCGATCTCGTTCTCTCTCTTTGTGTCGTTCATGTCGCAGCTGGTCTCTTTCTCTTTCCTCTTCAGACCGCTCTAAAATACGGGTTTTAAACAAGAAAGCAATTTTGTCAGAAGAGATGTGAAAAGATCACTTCAGAACCGGGCAACTTAGAGGAATTACCGGTAAATGATTTCAAACCAATTTACAAATCGAACCTGTGGCGAATTTAGTTCATCTCACACCAGCTTGAACCAATTTTTTTTAATCCCCTTTTTGTAGAAGACATTTCCACTATTTCTTTATTCTTCTTCATATTATTTTTCTGTATTTAAAATTTTATTTTGCTACGGTCCATCGTCCATTGAAATCCTATTCGCAAGACGAAAACCGCATATAGTTACTAGTGTGTAGTCATGACTAAAAAAAAAAAATTGGAAAAGCTTGCCTCTCTCTTTCCCTCGACACTTCATGCATCGCACGAACCTTTCCGAACCTTTCCGAACCTTTCCGAACCTTACCGCGGATAGACGCGTAACACGGCTGCACATATTCACGATGAAATAACAGAAGTCGCGCTGCTATTACAGCTGGACTTTAATTCAAATACGACCCCTCTGTTTACTTTGAAAAACGGCACAATTTACCTGCAGCAGCTCTGATGCCAGCTCGTTCTTCCCGCGCTTTCTTGGCCAGCTCCACCAGCTTCTGCTCTTTTTTCTCCTTCTCTCGCTGCGCGACCTTCTTTTCCAGCTGAGCTCTCATTTCTACAGCTTCTCGAGCCTGAAAAATTTTAAAACAAACAAATTCTCCTCAACGCAGTACATCGTGTCTTTGTCATATGCTGCAGGTCAATGGCTAATCCTCAATAAAAAAAAAAAA